TATCACAAACAGTTGTTGATTGAGTGACCATGTTTTTTTTGAAGGGATTATTTTGAAGGGATTTCCCCCGGAAAGCAATCCACCAATTGACTAACAACTTGGTTCCTATTTATTGTTAGGCAAAGAAGAATAGTGTTTATGGCAGAGAGGTATTCCGAACCTGAGAAACATCAGGACTAAGATATTTTGAGATGGTTCTCAAACAAATGCAGTCTTCTTCTTAGCTCTCAGTTCCTTCTGAGTTGCTAGATGATAGCTGGTCTGAATTCAGTAAACTGATTGTCCCTATGAGCTCTATCTCGCCTTTTGTTACTGCTGCTCTCTGGGCGGGATAGCATGCTATGGTCCCAAGTGCCATGGAAACAAAAGCATGTCACGCAGAGCAAACAGATCTGTGCAGAGTGACTCATCAAACAGGAGGAAAAACAATCAGCAGCAGTTGAGTCCTGGCCGGAGTTACCTTTACCATCATTGCACAATAACAATAATAATCCTTGTGTTTGTTATAGTGCCTTATCACATCGTTGGAACATCTCAAAATGTAGTGATTGTATTTGCAGACGAACCCAACAGCCAATTTGCACACGGGAATGTCCTGCAAATGACTGATATAGACAACGAAATCTCAGATATTTTATTGATTTTAAAAAAGGACATTTTCTCAATGTTCCAGTCGTTGCGCTAGGGGACCCCTGAAAGCGCAGTGTGAAAAGGCCCTCTTGGTGCAGCACATAAGGAACCGCAGGTTACTAATTTTAATACACGCCAGTGTTGAATTCGTTGATCTTAATGGGGAGGTGGGATGGACGGCTGCAATTGGCCTCAGCATTCCTGAATTAGGGGAGAGTCAGCCTGTTATCAGTCATGATTCCTACCCAAAAAACGCTGCTGGAAAGTGATGTGCGTGTGCATGTATGTGTCTGCTTGTTATATGTGTTTGTGTGTATTTATGTATGTTTATTACGTGCCTGCGATGTGTGTGTGGAGGGGGGGGGAGTCGGCAGGACGCTATTAGTTGAGAATAGCAGCTCAGGACGTAACCATGATGTCCTATGCAATCAAATAACCTGCCCTGACTTGCTGTCAAGACTCATACTTCTTTTTGAATAGCCGGGTGACTGACACACGTGGAAACCCATCACCATGCTTAAAAGTATCCAAATGAGACTGAGAGTACCACATATGTATACTTATATATACATGTATCTATATAAGTACTTATATATCTACTGACACATGGAAATGTCACCTGTCTGGAATGGAAAAGGCACTCTCCTCCTGGAGACACAGTCGACCCCGGCCTCTCCTCCCTCATCCACCTTAGTGAGACCTGATTTGAGTCCCACCTAACAATGGGGTAAACTTCCACATATATGCGGATGACACACAAATCTACTTCTCCTCCCTCCACCACCTGCAACTCCAGGTCCGTTGATGTTCTGTCAGCTTGTCTGGCAGACATCAGGGCCTGGATGAACGAAAACTTCTTGCAGCTAAATGTCGACAAGATGGAAGCCATACTCCGTGGCACCCGTCAAAGTCTTCAGCTTGCAGCCCTGAACCTCCTCAACCTCCCTGGCCTATCTCTCAGACTTACTGAACTGGTACGTAACCGAGGCATCAGGTTCGACTCACAGCCTATACTTCCTTCCCCACATCTGGTCCCTGACCAGGAACAGATTCCTCCACCTCCGCCATATTGTCCACCTCCCACCATACCTTACTCCAGACGCAGCTAAAACACTCGTCTATGCGTTCGTCAACTCCTGACTCGCCTTTTCAAATGCCTTCGTCACCAATCTCCCCAGCTCAGTATCCACAAAATCCAACTAATTCCAAACTCTGACGCCCGCATACTCACCTGTACTAAACTCTGTACCCTCATAACACCAGTTCTAACTAGACTCCACTAGCTCCCTATTGCAGGCTCCATTGGCTCCCTATTGCCGAATGGAACGATTTCAAGATCCTCACACTCATCTTCAAATCCCTTCATGCCCTGGCACCTCCCTATCTCTTCGACCTGCTTAATCCCCAACCCGCTACCTGCTGCCTCCTCTTGGACCGTGCCTTCGGCCACTCTCCTACTTTCCCTGCCCTTCACCTTCCCTGAACTTAATCCCCATCCCACCCCCCCCAACCTTCCCACCCCCACAATTATGTTCCTGAGACAGTTTGACTTTTAGTTCTCTGTTATATCAGCTCCAGTCACGTCCTCCTGCCTTTTGATCAGACTTATATACTACATCAAGAGACAGAACAAAACACAACTGTCAAACAGGAGCCAGAATAGCCAGGGAGAAAAAATGAAAACTGCATTAAAGGGAGAGACTAGAGAATCAGAGTCTGTAGTTGAATCTTTAAAATCTTTTAAAAGGCAATTACATAGATACTTGAAGAGGAGGAATATTAAAGGCTGTGGGAGAGTGGGATTAGATTGGCTCATGTGGAGAAAAACACCAACGCAGGCATGTGGCTTGATCTTGGCAGTAATATTCAATAGGCCCATATTTCCACCTAGTGTTAGCCACTAAGACCATTTTGTCTTAAATTGTAGAAAATGGAGAATTGCTGAAAAATCGTAAGTTCACAATGTGCTTATTACATTGAAGATGTTATGAAGCATCTAATTTTTCCATCTATTCCTAAAGACTGTTTGTGTGTATAAAATCCCCAACAATCCAACTTCGACTTTGTCCACTAGATTTTAGTGGACAAAGTCGGAGTTGTTTCATTGCTGATCTTGACCATTTAGTGCTTGGGATACCATCTTAACTAGACTGGGAGCTCATAGGCATCTTGCAGCTGGGGGAGGGAGGGGTTGGTCAGTTGGGTATCTGACACATGCAAAACTCAGGACCATGCTTAAAGTTCCAACTCGAAACCAAACTACTGAGAATTTCTACATATGACTCTGTGTCTGGAATGGAATGACTCTCTATTCCAAAGGACATGAAGCAAGCAGATGTTATTTCCATATTCAATAGAGGTTTTCACTCTATGGCTGTTTGTGGGACACTATTGTGTGCAACTGGCTGCCGTGTTTCGTCCACAAAATACACAGTCAGTGCAATTTAGGGTATATCCTGTGCAGCTGTTTGAGACATCTCAACGACGTGATAAGGCGCTATATCAAATGCAAAGATTATTATTATTTTATAAGAGTAACAAAACCTCACCTGACATCTGTGGAAAATAGTTAATAATAGCAAATTACATTTTACTATCTGGATTTTTTATATTTTAATGAAGTGCTGACAGGGAAGAGAAGGGGAATGGGATTCAAAGATCTGACAAGATCTAATAAACTGGTGGAACAGGCTCGATGGGCTAAATGACCTCATTGTTCCTGTTTTCCTCTGCTCCTATGCTTCTAACTATAGACCCATTAACCTGTCCTCAATAATTGAAAGATTTATTGAGTCAATTGTTGGAAAGGAAGTGACAGATTATATAAAAATAATAAATAAATGACAGGTAACTTGGGTTCAAAAATGGTAGATCTTGTCTGACCAATACCATAGACTTTTTTTTAAGGAGGTAACAGCCCAAGTTCACTCTGGGAAGCCATATGACATCAAATATTTAGACTTCCAAAAGGCATTTGACAAAGTACCATATGAAATATACCTTCATAGACTGTGATCACTGGGTATCAAGGGCAAGACATGGACATGGATTCAGAATTGGCTGAAGGGAAAGAAGGAGAGGGTATTTGTTAGCGGAGCAAGGTCAAAATGGAGTTAGGTATTAAGTGGGGCCCTTCAGGAGTCCCTACTGGGACCCCTCTGATTTCTTGTCTAGTGTAAATACTGTAATTCAATTTGTAGATGACGCCAAGTTGGGGGAAACTGGAATCAGAGGCGATAGCAAAGGTCCTACAAAGAGAACCTGATAGGGTATGCACATGAGATGATAACAGGTAATTTAAGTTTAATATACATAAGTGTAAAGTACTAGACATAGGTAATAAGACTAGGAAACACAAGTACTACATAGATGGGATGGAAGGTTCCCAGGGGAAAGCTAAAAGCGATCTAGGGATGTTGTTTGACTCATCATTTACTGTGTCAAAACAGTGTGAGGCAGCAATAAACAAGGCAAATAAGAAGCTGGGCTCTGTTGCTAAATCAGTTGAGTTTAGATGCAAGACGTCATACTCAGCCTGTTCAGTGTTCTGATCCGGCCTCACCTTGAATATTGCATACAGTTCTGGTCACCATGACACAAGCGGGCTGCTCGGGTCCTAGAAGTAGCAAAGAGGAGAATGACAAGGATGATCCCCAGTGTTAGAGGAATTACTAAGAGCAACCATTAGCCAAGCTGGACCTCTTCAGTCTTGAGGGAAGACAACACAGAGTGGTATAATTGAGTTATATAACATTTTAAATGGAATTGGAAAAGTGAACCCAGAACAATACTTCAGCATGAACCAAGACAGTAGAACAATAAAACATAAGTCTAGATTGCAGCAGGCAATTTCAGGACAGATACCATAAAGGTTTGCTTTGCCCATAGGATAATTAATAAGTGGAACAGTTTGCAGGGAGTGGAGTTTGAGGCCAGGACATTGGATTAATTTAAAAAATAACTTGGTGCTGTGATGGGAGGACACTAGGGTGAGGGAATGAGATCAGATGGGCCGAAGGGCCTTCTTCATCCAAACCAATTTTGTGATCTTCTCTTGTGGATGAAATATTAAACCAAGGTCTCATCTGCCTGTTCAGGTGAACTTTAAAGATGCCATGGTAATTAGTTTGAAGGACAGGCAGCGCTCCCAGGCTCCAGAACAACATTCTTCCCATCTCTATATTCCCAAAAGGCTAGTTCATCACTGTTTACGAGACATTGTTGGTGAAGAGTAGCTGCTGTGATGGACTAGTGTCTACTGTTCAGAATAACTCATTGTGTGATGTGATTGGTGACTTTGCGATGAGGCAATTGCTGTTTTATAATCATCTTTGTACCCTAAATGGTTCTGCCCTCTTTCTCTCCTGCAGAATGATATTTACGAGTGGTCGCGGGACCACCGAGTGCACCACAAGTATTCTGAGACCGACGCTGACCCTCACAATGCCACCCGTGGCTTCTTCTTCTCTCACATCGGTTGGCTCTTTGTACGAAAACACCCGGACGTGACTGAGAAGGGGAAGTGTCTGGATGTCACTGACCTCCTTGATGACCCTGTTGTTGTGTACCAGAGAAGGTGAGCACCGGGGAGTGAGGTTAAAACAGGGCAGTACGGTCAAGTGGAGGAAGTGGACTGTGCACCAAGGGTAAAAAGAAGCAGTTACACTGCTATCTCCAGTGCACTGAGGAAATTAATCAGGTACTACTGGAGACCAATATAACAGCACCACAGGTGGCGAGGTGGGGCTGACAACCTCAGACATCATTTTGTTCACAATGGATTATTGTGAATTTTGCCAATCAACCGCCAACAATCCGTTGAATAGTCATTTAAAATAATTTCTTAGGTATTGGCCTGGCTCAGTTGGTAGCACTCTTGCCTCTGAGTGAAGGTTGTGGGTTCAATCCCCACATCAGAACCTTGAGTTCATAGCCTAGGTTGACACTCCAGGGCAGTGCTGGGGTAAGCTGCATTGCTGCATGAGACATTAAACTGAGAGGCGGACTCCCACCCTGAAAAAACCCTCCCTTGATGCGTCGCAGCTATCAAGTTACCGGCCCATCTCCAACCTCCCCTTTCTCTCCAAGGTCTTGGAAAGAGTTGTCGCCTCCCAACTGCGCTCTTTCCTTTCCACCCATTCTCTTTTCGAACCCCTTCAGTCAGGTTTCCGTGCTGCCCATAGCACAGAAACTGCCCTGGTCAAGGTCACCAATGATATCCTGACCATCTGTGACCAGGGCTCCCTCTGTCTCCTCGTCCTCCTCGACCTATCGGCAGCATTCGATACGGTCGACCACGCTATCCTACTCCACCGCTTGTCCTCCCACCTCAACCTTCAAGGCACTGTCCTTGAATGGTTTAGGTCGTACCTTTCTCACCGTCTTCATTTCGTCTCGACGAATGGCTTCTCCTCCACCCCCCGCACTGTCTCATGTGGTGTCCCTCAGGGCTCTGTCCTTGGTCCCCTCCTCTTCACCCTCTATATGCTCCCCCTTGGTGACATCATCCGCAGACATGGAGTTAACTTCCACATGTATGCGGATGACACCCAACTCTACCTTTCCTCCTCTACTCTCAACTCCACGACCACCGATGTCCTGACAGCCTGCCTGTCCGACATCGAGTCCTGGACGAGAGACAACTTTCTTCAGCTCAACGTGCGAAAAACCGAGGCCCTCCTGATTGGCTCACGTCAGCGCCTCCGCACCTCAGGCGCTGACACCATCAGCATCCAAGGCTGCACTCTCCACCTCTCAAAGCCAGTCAGGAACCTCGGCGTTTTGTTCGACCCTGAGCTGTCCTTTCTCCCTCACATCCGCACCACAACTGGCACCGCCTTCCATCACCTCCGGAACATCGCCAGACTACGGCATTACCTCACCCCTCACGCTGCTGAAACCCTGGTCCACGCCTTTGTCACCTCAAGGCTGGACTATGGGAACTCTCTCCTCGCCGGCCTTCCCGCCACCTCCCTCCACAAGCTGCAGGTCATTCAGAACTCTGCAGCTCGTGTACTGTCCCGCACCAGGCTTCGGGACCACATCACTCCCACCCTCGCTCGCCTCCACTGGCTCCCCATCCCCCAGAGGATTGATTTCAAGATCCTCATCCTCACCTACAAGGCCATTCACGGCCTTGCTCCCTCCTACCTCTCCGACCTACTATCCCCCTACCTACCTGCCCGTACCCTCCGTTCCTCTGGCTCCGGTCTGCTCCACGTCCCCCGGCCCAACCGCCCTACCATCGGTGGTCGGGCCTTCAGCCTCTCAGCCCGAGGCTCTGGAACTCCATCCCCCAGTGCCTTCGCCGCTTCCTCCCTTTCCTCCTTCAAGGCCGGTCTCAAAACCTTTCTCTTTGACCGTGCCTTCAGCTCCCCTCTCGACTCTCTCCCCCTCCTCGCTCCCTCCCTTCCCTCCCCTCACCCTGACCATTTCCCCCTCCTCGCTCCCTTCCTCCCCTCACCCTGACCATTTCCCCCCTGCTCGGGTCATGACCCAACTGTGCAGCGCCTTGGGACGTCCTCCTGACGTGAAAGGCGCTTTATAAATGGAATCTTGTTGTTGTTGTTGTTGTTAACGATTCTATGACGTTATTCGAATAGAGAAGGGAGTATTGGGGGATGTGTGTGTGTGTGTGTGTTGGGGGGCAGGGCGGGGCTTATTGCCAGCCAGTGCTTATCCTTAAAAAAATTAAAATCAATGTGCGGTGATCTCCAGAGAAATGAAGGGGGACGTTAAAGATTCTGTGATGTTATTCGAATAGAGAAGTTTCTTTTGGCTTCCTGGCTACCAATCCTCCAGGTAAAATTAGCTATTCACTTGGTCTTAAAATTTAAAAAGAGGAACATTGTTTCTTTTGGCTGTTGGGCTGCTTTTAGAGCAATGAGAGGGAGGAATGGCCTATGGCTTCAAGCTGAACACAGCCTGAATATCTGACGTGAGGATAATTGGATTTTTTTTTGCCTTATAAAAAATTTAAAGATAGTTATCTGCATTATGCAAGTGACAAAGCTGGCTCTTCTGTGGCAGATTGCTCGTTTGTGCTTCTTACTCTTGGGTGAACACTCCAGTGTCATTCACAGCCTTGCCTTTCATACAGTCTCTCCCTCCCCCAATGGATCTCCCCATTCCCTGCCCCCACCCCACCTCGGAGATACAAGGATTGAGAGCAACAACAATCAGACAACAACTATTCAAGAAAGTGACCTTCACGTAGGATAGTGTCTCAGAATGCTTCACAATGGCGAGGTCAGACTCTGAGCAAGAGAGAAGGGATAGAGGGAAGTGATAGAGAGATAGATAGATGGACGAATGGACGGACGGAATTGCACTAGTATAATCTAGGCTGACACTGCTGAATTGTTGGAGATGCCGTCCTTCAAATGAAATGTTAATCTGAGATCCCTTCTGCCTATTCATGTTAAAGATTCCATGGCACTATTTCAAAAAAGAAGGGAATTATTTCTCCCAGTGGGCTGGTTAACAACACCTCCCCCGCCCCCCACTACCACCCCAAATAAAAATTGTTCATTCACTTTGTGGTTGTCTGTGAGATATTGCTGTGTGCAAATTGGCTGCCATATTTGCCCACAAATGCACAGTCATTACACTTTGTAGTATAATCTGTGAAGCGCTTTGAGATGTCTTCCTGATGTGAAAGGTGTTATAGAAAAGATTATTAATATTAATGGAGTGGGGGTGGGGATGGAGAATGTGCGGCAGGCCCAAGTAAGTTGAGTCCAGGAGGCTAGCAGAGAAGTGAGGAAGGAGAAGATACAATACACTACAAAATACATTTGTAAAGTGCCTTTGATGTAGGGAGGACGTCTCTCTTCCTCAGGGAGGGTAGGGGGGTGGCCGAAGGCACGATCGAAGAGGAGGATCTTGAGGCTTGCCTTAAAGGAGGCAAGGAAGAGAACGGGGTGAAGGGAATGTGGGAAGGCGTTCCAGAGGGTGGGAACATGTTGAAAAGGAGAGGACCGAGGACAGAGCCCTGAGGAATACCGCACAAGACAGTGCAGGGGCTGGATGAGAAGATAGGGACGTGCTAGGGCTTGGAGGGATTTATAGGTGAGGATGTGGACCTGAAAGTCAAACTGTTTAGAGCCAGTGAAGCCTGGTGAGGACTGGGGGGATGAGCATGTGGAGTTTATCTAATCAGACTTTAGTTACATTAACAAAGTAATTTAACAGATGACATACTTCAGATTTCTACTGGGGGTGGAGAGCTCTCTGCCATACACAAAATTCAAATAATTCAGAACTCCGCTGCCTGGATACAAACTCGTACAAAACTCCGTAACTCCATTAAACCAATCCTTGCCAGGCTGCACTGGCTCCCAATTACCAAACGGATCAACTTCAAGTTCTTTTCACTCGTTTTCAAATCCCTTCATACCCTCGCACCTCACTACCTATCTGATTTTCTTACCCCTCACTCCACCACCCACTGCCTCTGCTCAGCCGGCTCCAGCCTCCTCTTCGTCCCTCACCCCCTCCACTCCACCATTGGTGGTCATGCTTTCAGCCACTACACCCCGAAGCTCAGGAACTCTCTCTCTCAAATGGAAATCTCCCCGCTTTGCACCCTCCCTTCCCAATTTCAAATCCCGCCTAAAGACCTTCCTTTTTGATCGTGCTTATGGTCACCTCTCCCCTCCCTCTCGCCCTGGCTCTGGGTCAGACTCCGCCACTGTCAAGCATTCCGGGACATTACCCCATGAAGGGCGCTATATAAATGCAAGTTGTTGTTGTTGTTGCTTCTTGCCACCTAGCACGATGGATGGGGAGTCAAGCCAGTGGATTGGCATACCCCCAGGGTTACCAGTGTATCTGGTGTGAGCCCCCTTGTTTGCACTGGGGAGCATCATGTTTGCAAGGTATGACTTAAAAAAACAAAAGATCACACTGCATTTTGGCAGATTGGTTTAAATATGTTTAGTTGCGGTTAGAAATGTCAGTGGTTTTGAAGTGGGCACAATGAAGCAGTCTGTAGCTGCTAGGGTGTTCTGTGGGGATGTTGCTGCCAGAAAGGATTAAGAAACATGTCCCTTTCTTCACATATTTCCTTTTCTCGCGGTTACCTCGTAAATAAGTAAAGGATTTGTTGACCTAAATTTCGCAAGTGATATAGCGCTGTATAACACCGAGAGGCTCAGAGAATGATCATGTACAAGAAGATTAAAGTCTATGGCTTAATTCACATGCATTTTTAATGAAAAGCTGAACTGACCTCCAGATGCGTTGTTTATTTCAGGCCTGTGAGCTCTACTCAAGCAGTGTTGAATGAGATCCAAATGCTGAATGTGAATGTGTGCTCATCTGCGTGGTGACTTGCTGCATGATGACAGTGCACAATCGCTGGCCTTATGTTCCTGCTCCCTGTGAGCACGGACCTTGACTCCGCCATGGATCATGGTGTTAACCGACTGGAGATAATTAGATTGCAGCCACTGGAGGGTAAAATGGATCAAACGTTCATTTTTACACTGGTGTGCACCAGTTGCTTTAACCCTTTGAAACCTCACAGTTTAGGCAACACTTCCAGTGCAGCACGGTACGGGTTGCAAGTTAAACTGGTTTGGTTGAGACGTTAAACTGAGGTCCTCTTTGCCTGTTCAGGTGGATGTTGAAGATCCCATGGCACTATTTGAACAGAGAAGGGAGTTTCTCAAGGTGTCCTGGTCAACAATCCCCCAAATAAAATTGGTCACTCACTCCATGGCTGTTTATAGGACATTGTGTGCAATTGGCTGCCACATTTCGCCCACAGAATCTAGGCAATCCACTTTACAGTATATCCTGTGAAGAGCTTTGAGACTTCTCAAGGATGTGATAAGGTGCTGTATCAAATGCAAAAAAATGTTAATTGTATTGTTTGAATAATTCTCCTGCACTTCTCATTGGCTTTCGTTGTTCTTATTTTAACCAAGGACCCCTTGTTCTAGTTAACCTTGTACAATGAAAGCCTCTATCAGCAGATAGTGATAGGAGTCCTGTAGCTCAGTGGTTAAAGCACTCGCCTTGCAAGCGAGACACCTGGGTTCAATTCCAGGCAGGGCGAAACCTTGGGCAAATTTCCTTACTCCAACCGCCTAATAATAATCCCTCCAAAAAACAAAACAATAATAAATTGGTCATTTTCAATCCATGACTGTTTGTGGGACACTGCTGTGCGCAATTGGCTGCCGCGTTTCGCCCACAAATATACAGTCAATTCACTTTACAGTATATTCTGTGAAGCGCTTTGAGACGTCGAGAAGACGAGAAAAAGCGCTGTATCAAATGCAAGCATTATTATTATTAATCCCATCATCCTGGCCTGGATTTGAACCTATCTTCCAGAGGGGAAAAGATAATGTGCTTAATCCACTGTGCTGTATTATATCCCTTTTATCCTATTTTTAAACTAAGAAAACCTGAAACAAGTCTATTAATGAGCAGGTGACCTATTTCTAGACCTCTCCCAATATGTTTCTTTATTGTGGACACAAGCCAACCATTTATAAGGAAACTTTACTTACATTATTTATTTAATGATAAAAATAATTGCGCATAACTTGGATGTTAGACAATTATTTTCCTTTATTATAGTTCCACTGTCAATGATTATACAAAGAGCAAAAAACGCAATTATAACAAGACCCAATAATGGGAGCAACTAGGTTATCACGGAATTAAAAATTGATTAACTACCTATCCATGGACGAGTAGTCGGCAGCCGGGAGGTTCATTGATGCATCTCATTGACTAAACTCTCCTTTGTTATACCTGATTGGTTATTGTGAAAAGCCCCAGATCAATCACGTAGCTCATACATCCTTTGTGGTTAAAGCTCAAAAGCCCAATATTGTAGGGCAAGTTGTGTTCAGATGCCAGGTGTCCATGTGATGGTGGCAACCAAAATATTTTCTTCCAAGTGTTCTCTCCACTTCTCCTTATCAGAAGGTACAATCCTGATAAACAAAGTCAAGGCCATGTTGTTCTCCTGCGTCAATTTCTGTAGTTTGCATTTTATGGTAACTCTTTCCTTACACATTACACATCCTTTATCCCCTTTCATCTCCTTCAATCTAGCCCAGTATAAGTCAGGTTGGCACAACAACAACTTGGATTTATATAGCGCCCTCCACGCTGGACGGCGTCTCAAAGCGCTTCACAGTAACAGATCCCGGGGCCGAGTCAGGGGGAGGGGGAGGAAGGTGACCAAAGGCGCAGTCAAAGTCTTCAGCCGAGATTGAATTGGTGAGAAAGTTATAGCAATTTCGCCTGTGATCAGAACTAATGTTGGGACCTGAGCTCAATACACGCAGACATCTTAATGCAGTATTAGGGGAACACTGGAGGTGCCATTCTTTGCTTGAGAAGTTAAATACATTTGTACTGATCATACTATTTATTTTATTTTAAAAATATGCTTGTTCTGGTGAGTTGTGAATAAATCAGAATATTTTTTTCTGGCAGGTACTACAAGACATCCGTTTTGATCATGTGTTTCTTAATGCCAACGTTTATCCCCTGGTACTTCTGGGGGGAGACTCTGTGGAACTCGTACTTCCTGGCTTCTATCCTTCGATACACGTTGTCTCTGAATGTCACGTGGTTAGTGAACAGCGCTGCCCACATGTATGGAAACAGACCATATGATAGGCACATCAGTCCCAGAGAAAACAGACTGGTTACCTTTGGAGCAATCGGTGAGTGGGAATCCAGTCCCAAGTGATCAATTACCTTGGAATGAGAATATGTGCTTCTTTTTAAGTGGATAGCAGTTAGTTAACCTGGCTCATTGGGAGCACTTATACCTCTGCTAGCAATCTCGCCTTTAAGAAAGAAGGTTAAGACCTTCAAGACACTTGTCGGGACTTGAAACTCATATCATCTAAGCTGACACTGCGGCACAGTGCTGGGGGAGTGTAGCATTGTCAAAGGTACTATCCATCAGATGAATTATTAAACATGATAAGGTGGTAAAGGAAATGCAAGGATTATTTATTATTTATTTAAATCCCTTTACATTGTGTCAATGAGCCACACCTCGGCTCCAATCAGCATTGACTATTTGGGTTGATTGAGCTGCTGCCATTCCATTCTAAAATTGTTAGGGTTCCCATTCCTGGCGATTACCATCAAGCAGAACGTCACGGTTGGTTACAGTAACTACCCCTTCCCCCCACACATTAGATCCACCATTAGTTTTCTATATTTACGTCCTCTATTTATGGATTCACCACCACCATCAACAATAAATTACATTTGTATAATGCCTTTCACGTCGGGAGGAAGTCTCAAGGTGCTGGGCAGTCAAGGATTTAGACCTGAGCAGGGGTTTGGGACCAGGAGGAGTGCAGGGCAGGGAGGGTATGAGGTAGTAGGGTGACTGAAGGCATGGTCAAAGAGGAGTCCTGAAATGGGCCTTGAAGGAGGCAAGAGAGCGAGCAATGCGAAGGAACCATGGGATAGAGTTCCAACAGCTGGAGGCAGAAAGGCTGAAGGCTCTACTGCTGAGCGGAGAGAGCGGACAGGTCTATATGGAGTTAGCAGGTCACAGAGGTAGGGAGGAGCAAGGTCATGGAGGGCTTTGAAGGCAAAGTAACGAGCTGCTGTTTCTTACAGGGGAAGGATTCCACAACTATCATCACACTTTTCCATTCGACTACTCAACAAGCGAGTTCGGCCTCCGGCTGAACCCAACGACATGCTTTATTGATTTCATGTGTTGGCTGGGCTTGGCGAGCAACCGGAAACGTGCCTCCAGACAGATGATCCAAGCGCGCAAACTGAGGACTGGCGACAAGAGTGCTTGAGCGAACAAGACAGCCTCGAGTTCTGCACGAAGATTTCACGTTTAAATTTGCTGTTATTTTTAACATGGAAATATAGTCATGCATTTCAAGCTTGTGAGAACAACGATGCATCTAGCTTATTGCAGTTGTTTTGCTTAACTCTTTCCAGTCCATGCAGGTCAAAGATATCCTTGAGCGCGTTGACTATATTTTACGAACTGCAAAAGGCCTACCTAGTCTGGAAGTGGTGGTCTGGTGTAAGTGACAGCAAATATCCCATACTCTTCTGCATTGTCCGAAAGGACACTGTGTATCAATCAAGTTTGTATTGACCTCAGGACTTTAGATTTAGTTAAGTAGTCAATATAATGGATTAATAAGACAGGCTAGGGAAATAGTTATCACTCGAATGCTGAAACTGTAGTCTTGTAACAGCAACAAAAATATACAGTATCATGGGCTTGAAAGGGTTAACCCACGTGAATTCTGAATGTCGATACCAGTGTTGTTGATATGTTGTACATTTCCGCAATTTATTCAAACCCATGTCAACTTTGTTATAGGAAGTAGTTTTGGCAGCAATTTGAAAGTGAAAGGTCTTCAAACGTTGATGTCTGTTGATTGTGTAATTGGTTACTACAAGTCTTTGTCTCATTTGGAACAAAAAAAATGTTTATTCGTGTGCAGTGAGGGAGCAGAGGATGGCTGTGCTTCTCAGTCACCTCCAATGTGACCAAGGAGAACTGAGGGAATCAAAAAGGAATCTTCTTTATAAGGTTCATCCGATGTGGCACATATTGTGTTTAGGGAAGATAGCTGTTAAGTTTTTTTTTTCAGACCAAATCGCGTTTATATTAGAATGGTTTCATTTCCTGTTTTTATTCGAGAATATAATTTTGATGAGGGGGGTGGGGTTAGGTTTTCAAAAAGGAGAAAGTGAGCCTCATGTACATAGGCAGACACAAATTAGGTTCAGTGGAGCAGCCTTTCATTGTCCCTTCCTGTCTGGGAAGTTCTGAACAATACAAACAAACTAAACAAACTAGAAGGCATGTGAAGTCACCACTTAGGCTGGGGAAGTGGGGAAAGCAAAGTCATAATTTTCTCTTCTTCTGAAGGTGTTGGCTCATGTTGCAGGGCAGTGATCTGTATGGATTAAGAATTGCTAGACGAAAAAAGACCAAGGTCCTGGTAGTCGGATGCGACAATAATGGAGATGTTGATAGCAAATAATTCTGTATGGATTAATCTACCAACATCTGGAATAGATGATTGTTTTCCACATTGTAGGGCAGAGGTAGTGAAGCCAGTTCTAAAAATCCCTACCAACAAACGATTTCATATTATCTTCATGATATATTCCTGCATTTTCATGAAAAGATCCAAAACAATACATTGTGGCAAAGATGTGATATTGTAAACAGAATGCGGCTACAATTTGACATCATAATGATAAACCTGTGCTCTGGTCAGGCTGCATGTAACGTCCACATATTTGGTAACTGACATAAGGATGTTTTCCCTCACAAGAAACAGTGCAGAAAACAACAAAATTATCCCCAGTGTTAGAGGGATGAGCTATGAAAGTGACTGGATCAGATAGGGCTCTTCAGTCTTGAACAATGTCTCAGAAAAAAATCTCGTGGAACTATGGAAGATGCTATCTAGGAAAGAAACCAAGAATACCACTTTCAGCTTTGTCAAGGTTGAAGGACAAAAGGTCTTAGGTTCAGAGTTGTAAAGGGCAATTTTAAAACAGACATCACCAAGTACAGTAGTTCTTTACACAGAGGTTATTAACAACTGGAATGGATTATAAGGAAGGGAGTCTGAGACTAGGATACTGGTATGTTTGGATTGTCATGAGGTGTTAGCCTGGTGTATTTTAATATTCTGAAATGAAAATGCTTAAGTCATAACATGTGATTGGGAGGTTTTTAGTATAAGTTTGTTTTGAGCATTGACTCTGAAACAAAAGCGCACAAGTTTCACACCCAGAGTTGCCCATCATCAAACTTATTTGCCTCAGTTGTCTCAATTTTGCCAGCCCATGGTTACGTCACTATGTGAGGGGTTTGCAGAACAGGACGTTGCATTTTGGAGAGGTGGGGGAAGACAAAAGAAAAAAAAAACTGAAAATGATCTTACTTTGCTGAAATCATGCTTTCTTCTTGCTGGTAGCACCAAAGAAACTCACAATGCCTTCTCCCATTTAGAGGAGATTTACAGGGGCTTGAGTGATGACTGTCCAGCTATGTTGTAAGTCTGCAATTGAATTGTAGATTCACTCTGAATAAGATCAAATAAGACCTGTCTTTGTTGCTGGATAATTCTAGTTTTATTTCTCTGATTAGCAGTACTCGTCCTATTCTGGTCAGATGCAGGACCAGAAGAAACCACTGCACTGCAATTGGCTGGGCTCCATAACACACATTCCCCAATCCCTTCACCGTCAAAAATATATCCAATTCCTACTTGAAACTGCTGACAGTATTCGCCTCCACCATCATCTTGAGCAAGCTGTCCACGTGTTAATCAGCCTCTGTGTAAAGTAGTTAATTCTGAATTATCTATTCAACCACTAAATTTGAGATCCCAACCACTGGTTGTTCTGCTATTAAATAGTAATCTTCTCATTATGTATCTATAATGGGAAATAACAATATAAACATAACAAAAGTAATAGGCCCCCGTAGCATTAAGCACGACAAGTTGAGGAACTCAGTGTCTCATGAAGTATATCCAAGGTAACTGAACGTACAGGCCAGGAAGAGCCTTGGTACAATCACCGTTGTTCAGTAAGTTGATCTCAACTGGAAAATCACAGTTGGCCTCAGCGTCTCAGTTTAGAGAAGGGAAAATCAGACAGATTACTGCTCCAGATCCCACACACCCCACCCCCCTTACTGGAAGTGCTTGTGTTAAGGTGTTGGGTGAGAACAGGTTTGAGTTTGGCACTGTGACACACTCACTAGGCCTCTGATAGGCTCGCACATCAATGTACAAGGTACCACAGGGCAATTGAGGACCTTGGAAATGCACCTGAGTAGAAGCAAACAGGGACAATGCCTGCAGTGGGGGAGGGAAGAACATAGGTGGAAAAAAGCACTACAAGCTGGAGGTAGCGTACTTGGTGATAAGTCATACAGCACAGAAGGAGGCCATTTGGCCCACCGTGTCTGTGCTGGCTCTTTGAAAAGAGCTATCCAATTCAATCCCATTGCCCCGCTCTCTCCCCATAGCCCTGCAAACTTGTCCTCCCCAAATAATTATCTACTTCTCTCTTAAAAGTTGTTATCAAATCAGCTTCCACCACCCTTTCAGGCAATGAAAGTGACAGCCTGAGTTTCAGCAGATCATTAGATCATCTCAGGATAGAAGGTGGTGTGTATGCTGGCAGGTGATGTCTGAGGGAAGAAATATGAGAATTTTTTTATTAAATGCAAGTTTTCTTTCACATATGTTTTTACAAATTTGACATTTTGTTAACATACAACACTGAATACAGTATTATTCAGCAGAAATTGAGAAATGCAAACATCACGCAACATTCTCTATGAGTTTACTTAAATGGACTCTAAAGCAATTTCATGTCTTAATTTTTTTCTAGTTATTTGAAAAGAAACTTGTGCATTCTTAAGAATATTAGTGAGGAATTTACACGTATATTTGAATAAGTGCCCACACATTGTCATTCCATGAACTCCATTCAACCTCCAATCTGCGGGAGGCTGGGTAGGTGATAAAAGAAGCATTATGTTTCCTATGGTTCTTTGAATAAGCAAACTATCTGTTTTAGATTTAAAACAAGTGGTATGATAGATTCCAGCACTTATTTGTCAGGGGTGATATGGGCAAAGCATGCGAATTGTAGAAAATGCTTAAAGATTTAGTGTTAATTTGGGAGTTGTTTTTCTGCATTTCTTAAAAAGACCTAAGGACAACCAGCCTCCAAATTAGGACTAAATTTAAGCAGTTTTCAAAATTTGCACAATCTGAAATTTTAGGACAGTGGCCCAAAAGTCTAAGACTGTGAGAGAGTTGAAGGGTCTCTAGATGCATTAGTATTGTCAGTGAATTCCCCATTAAGCACCATTTGCCACTGAAATGCTTACTGATAAGGAACAAATTATATTAAAGCTGTTTCCCAAACAGGGGATGGAGCAACCCAAAGCGTGCAATTGAAATGCAAACCCTGTGAACAGATATATGTTTTTTGAGTTAAAAAGCAAATCAGCTCTCATTGGCATTAAGTTGGATTCTTTTCATTAGGGCAAGTTAATGCTTCCTACCTCAGTAGTTAAGTATTATAGATTCCGATTCCCAAGTGAAAAAAACCCTGCAAGTCTGCCATGTGCCAGAGATGCGTTAAAGATTTTAGAAAATTGTAAATCCGAACCAGCGTGCATAGTTTGATTTTTCGCGGCCTGAATCCTAAACTTTGCACAATTTGTGTTGTGCATGCTATGTTGATGCTCCAGTATCTACAACAGGAGAAGTGCCACTGCCTGTTTCACCAAGCTGAACCCTGTGGTGACATTTAAATGAGGGAGGGTGAAAGAGAAGGGGGAATCCAGGCACCTGTTAAAGTGAGTACTGACCTTACCTGACTTCACACAATATCACACCCTGTTTTTTCATGGTCGTTCATCACTATAACCCTGCATCAGGCTCACAAGGCTCGTGAAAGGCACTGGTGCTTCTTTAAGGCAATCTATTTTTTTAAAGAGATTTGGCCCATGTAAAATAAAATTGCTATGTACCAGGGAGGGTGGCGGTAAAATAAAATCTATCTATCCTGTTGACCCATTTATTGAAGCAAATGTTGTTTGCGTATTACAGAGTCGAATGCTCTCTCATTAACTTAAATGTGGACTTTGAAACAGTTTAAAATAAATGCTGCTAAGTTTGCCTTGTCTCTTGTTGTCTCTGTTACTGTGATTGTGTTGGTCTACCTTCTGACTATTGTAATAAAGAGGGGGCTGCTGTGCTCTGCTACTTACACAACGAGGAATGATGTCTCATATAGTGCCCAAGTGCAAATAAATTATATTCTATATAATATCAGATTTTTAAAAAATAATCTATTCTCTTTACACAGCTAGTTGCAATACA